CTTTCTTTCTTTCTTTCTTTCTTTCTTTCTTTCTTTCTTTCTTTCTTGTAATAGTTTCATCATAGATTATAGAAGCCTTTATATTTAGAACTTCAGACATTATATTGAATTATAAATTAAAAAATTGTTCACTTGTAGTTCTATTTCTTTTGGACTTAAATTATATTATTTTGTAGGAAAATGCTACATGCTGGGATTAAGTTATTGTTTTATTCAGAAGGTCTGGGTTCTTTGATTAAGACAGATAATTATGAATTAATGTGGAAAAATTAATCCCTACAAGAACCAACATTGTGAATTCTCAAAAATGGCTGGGTTGATATTTGGCTATTATAGAGCAATTACTGCTCTCAAGCAATGTGCTTGACACTTGGAAGCCTACTTGGCTAATCTCCCTACGTATAATTCCAAGCTATAAAAACATTCCATGTAAGTGAAGTGTTGTTGTAGAAACAATCCCCTTAAATTCATACCCCATATTCCACGTATATTGAGCCTCCAATAGGGACACAAGGCCCATTTCATAATTCCGTATTTGGTGAAGTATCCAGACATTTTCAACTTATTTTAAGTAGAGCTATTACTGTTGGATAATTATGATAAAGTTTCCTTGAATGTGACAAAATGTTGTATCTGCAAAACTCAACATGCATTGATTATTTCAATGGTGTAGTTATAATTTTATGTTTGTTGAATTACTTGAAGCTGAATATTTGCTTTAAGTTGCAGAATTCTAATCAGTGATCATAATAAAAAATGAAGGCATTAAGGCAGAATTGGGACAAAATATGTCTATTCAGTATTCACAATGAACCCTATGATACATAGTTGCTATTAGTCCATTACAAAGCACTCAACTTAGCTATTAAAAAGCCATCTTAGTTGTTCATAATTCAAAATCTCTACTATACTTTCTGTCATTCGTGATTTTTCTTTTCTTAGTTTTTTTCCCTATTATGGAAATGACTTTTAAGAGGTGAGAGTTGCCCATCTGTTTTTAGGTTGGAGATGCAATTTCTCCTTTTTCTTTATTCACTTTCTGCCACACACAAAAGGATTCTGGTTATTCCATTATGGTAATAAAAAAAGCTTGTAAAATTATTTTAAACACTATTTGCTCAGAGTTAACAATATATCAGTCCTATCCTCACCAAGACTGAATAGTCTAAAGGCCATAACACTTAAAATAAATATCACTGCTAGATTTATTAAGATTCATCTCAGTGTTTAAGAATATTTAACATTGTCAGAAAGGAACAATCCACTGTGGATGTTAATATAAAAGAAAATAGTGAGGAATAGTAAAATACAGTAAGACATAACAGAAAATAATTTAAACTATAATTGAAAGAATTATTGAAATAATAAGACATTCTAATGTATAACTCGGACTAAACTATGATTCCCTTGCATGAACATCCTTAAATTAACTTATCTTTCAAAAGTACAGAAAGCAATTTCCTAAAAAAGGAGAGTAAGTATGAATATTTGAAAAAAGTTGTTTGAATGGAGGGAATATATTACAGTAGTTCTTTTAAAATCGAAGTTAAGAAATGGACTTATGTACCAGGTATTCTAGCAAAATTAGTCATAAAGCATCAGAAGCGAATCTAAAAGGATATAAAGTCATACATAAATCATATTTTTATGCATAATTGATTTGTATTAATATTGTTAGCATCATTATGAGATATATTTTTAAAAGGCATAGCAGAGAATCTTAATATATACAAGTACATATTATTCTTTCAAAGTTTAGCCTATTATGAGATGATACTTAGTTCCTTGTAACTCGGTCAGTAATTATCCATCTTCTATAATTTAGCTTGTTGCTTTTGGATCACTATTTCTGGGAAAATCTCATTGATAAAAAAATATTTGAAATCTCAAGCTACCCTGCAGTCACTGAAAATATCCACAAGAGGATGCCAAGCTATCAGCAACAAAGTTATTTCCCAATAGGTTCTCAAGTGCTTGTTTTATTTTTAAGACCAGAAATGAACAGAGAGGCCAGAAAATAAATTAGATTTTTTTATCTAAAATCAAAATACAACTTGCTTTCTTTTCTAACTTGATTTGCTTTTATCACTTGAACGCCCATAACTGCAATGTTTTTTTGCCAATCCATATAGCTTATTATTATTTAGAATCCTCAAGTAGGTGGCACATAAATTGTAGTAAATACATGAAATATTAAATGTTAGGAATATAGCTGCATGATGGAATATTTCCCATGGCAAATAAATTTTCTGAAAGATATTATTATACCTTTGAAATCTGGGGACTTCAAAATATATTTTCTAAATAGTGAGATCTAATGAGCTTTAGATAGATGGATTTAAAACAAAACTAACACTTTAGAGCACTGTCAAATTGAAGTAATAGTTTGATACAGGAACCACTGTTAATAAGCATAATGTGACAGTTCGAAGTGTGCTAGCCAGTCAAAAATACTAAGAGGTTTTCCAAGAGACTGAATTGCTGGGTTTCTCAGTATAATAATAAACCGCTCCAAACTTGATTGCAGAAAGTATGACTTCAGCAAGAGTGGTCAATGCCTGGAATGCACTATCTGATTCTGTAATTACACCCTCAAACCAGGGGTGGGATTCTACCAGTTCGCACCTATTCGCTAGAACCGATTTTTAACATTCTAAGCAGCTCGGAGAATTGGTTGTTAGGAGAAATTACTGGCCTAATCCTGTAAGGAAGGCAGGAAGGAAACATTCTGGTGTTGCTTATAGAAACTGCCTCTCTGTTAACCCTTATTACATTCTTGGCAGGACTAGACTTCCTGTCTCTGGAACTTCTCTGGAGATTTTTTTTCCTTCCTTTGCTGGTATTTTGCTTGTGTGGAGTGACCATTCAAAGTTACAATGGCACTGGAAAAAGTGACTTATGACCGTTTTTCATACTTATGACTGTTGCAGCATCCCCACAGTCATGAGAGGCCAGGTGAGGAGATGCGTGCCTTGATGTGAGTGATGTTGAGTTGGCCACGCCCAGCCAGTCATGACCACCAAGCCATGTCCACCCAGTCACATGACCACAAAGCCATGCCCACCACTAAGCCACGCCCACAGAACCGATTGTTAAAAAATTTGAATCCCACCCCTGCCTCAAACCCCCACTCCTTTAACCTCAAACTATCCACTATTGACCTCACCTCATTCCTAAGAGGTCTGTAAGGGGCGTGCATAAATGCACCATCGTGCCTCCCATTCCTGTCCTATTGTCCCCATTTAATCATCCATATGTTCTGTATTCTTACTCATGTTTACACTTATACCTATTATTTTATAAGCGATTGACGGGAAGCATTCTAGGTATCCTTTGGACATACTATCAATCTGAACAATTCATTGAAGCTATGCAATTTGTTGGTCTATTCGTGACAACCAGTATATAACACCAATAAATGAACTTTCATCTTGGATGATTTTAGTAAAGCTTAATCCCCACATGATACTGTAGGAAGTTAGCACCCACCCCTCTCCTAGAAAATTGAAATATCCTAGGAAATATTTAAAAAGGCAGAATATTTCCCCTAGAAAGAGTAGAAATTCAAGAGCAGAAACACCTCAGAAGCAGAAGCTCACCCCCACCTTTGTTAATGGGTGGGCCATTAAGGCCTGGGCCGGAATACTTTACATAACAAAGATCTCTAGGTAAAGGTATAGCATCCAGCAAGGGTCAACCAAGCCTGGAACTTAGGAAAGCCTACAAAGTTAGCTAAGATCCCCGCTCCTGGGAGTCTGACAGCCAATGGGATACATTTCTTGCACAGATACAGGAAACACTAAGGTAGGGCCCAACAGAGAGTATATAAGGGTCTCAGCATCTTGGCCGGCCCTTCTTTTTCTGTTTTTCTTCACCTTGGAGCATGTGATCATCCTTCTTTGGACCTTCAAGCCATGTGGTCCTGTCCACCATTAAAACCATCTTTCCAAATAGCCTCCCTATTTCCAGTGCCTTTTTCCCACTTGGAACTGAACCCAGAAGAATAATTCTTCCAACAATACAACAATTCAAACATCACATTTTTGCAGTGTATTCCAGTAATTTTTAATTGTTCTGTATATGTGAGATAGGTTTCTTCTGGTTTCTTGTTGAATACTCTCTATTACCGGTATGATAGAGAACAAAATATCAAAGCAGTTTAATTTGATACAGATTTTTCAGCCCGCTTAGCCCAGTGTTTATAAGCTAAACCAGTGTTTCTCAACCTTGGCAGCCTTAAGATGTGTGGACTTCAACTCCCAGCATTCCCCAGCCATCTTTGAGTTGAAGTCTGCTCATTTGAAAGTTGCCAGGGTTGAGAAACACTGGTTTAGCTACAGACGGGTAGGATTCAAATTTTTAACAACCGATTCTATGGACGTGGCTTAGGTGGTGGGCATGGCTTGGAAGTCATGTGACTGGATGGACATGGCTTTGTGGTCATGTTATTGGCTGGGTGTGGCCAACTCAATATCACTCACATTGAAGCACGCATCTCCTCGCCTGGGCTCTCATGACTGTGGGGATGCTGCAACAATCGGAAGTGTGAAAATTGGTCATAAGTCACTTTTTTCAGTGCCATTGTAACTTTGAATTGTCACTCCACACAAGCAAAGTACCAGCAAAGGAGGGGGAAAAAACTCCTGAAACAGGAAGTCTAGTCCTGCCAAGAATGTAACAAGGGTTAATGGAGCGGCAGTTTCTATAAGCAACACCAGAATGTTTCCTTCCTGCCTTCCTTACAGGATTAGTCCAGTAATTTCTTCTAACAACTGGTTCTCTGAACTGCTTAGAATGTTAACAACTGGTTCTAGCGAATAGGTGCGAACTGCTAGAATCCCACCCCTAGCTACAGACATAAAAGAGAATATATCCCAATTTATTACAATTTCTTCA